TCCAACCTTCCAATTTACTCCACACATATTCTGTCATTAGCAGTTGAACTAAAACCTCATTGAAGGTAGAAACATAAAAATGCTCTGGAAACATTCCCGTACGTTCAATTGAATGGAGCAACCATCATATACACACACACAGATACACAAAAACACCCGCACTTACAGACATACACATAGACACACACACACACAGAGTAACACACACACACACACACGTGTGTATTTCGGCAGCCATTTATACAATTTTCACTAAAACGACTGACAAAACAATTTTTTTCCTGAATGTTTTCGTGTTAACAGCCAGGAAAGTAACACTATAACATTTAGAAAATATCAGTTCTTTTTAATGAAACACATATATATATATATATATATATATATATATATATATATATATATATATATATATATGTGTGTGTGTGTGTGTGTGTGTGTGTGTGTGTGTGTGTGTGTGTGTGTGTGTGTAAAAATATATAGAAAATAGGAAAGAACTGTTAGGTAAATAATCCAAAGTTCTTTAGTATTTTTGTCATTATTTTTAAAAAATAGTGCTCGATACAAAAGTAGAGCCTAAATATAATTATTTATTTAAAAATATGATTCAATCGCTACATAAGAGTTCTCATTGTAGCGATAGAATCATATTTTTAAATAAACAATTATATATATATATATATATATATATATATATATATATAGATAGATAGATAGATAGATAGATAGATATATATGAAGAAATATAATTTTAAGGTGTGCTATATTTACGGAATAAAGGGCTCAATATCAGAGATAGAGCGTATCTAAATATAAAATGATTTCTATGAAAATTTCTCGGACATTCAGGCCGGTAAATATTATTTAATACTGTTTATTATAAACAGAGCATTTACTTGAATACTTGTATCTATAAAAATAACGTTAAACATAAATATATCTTTAATAAATAAATTGTCGGACTTTGTCCATTTCTTAATATATATATTATATATATATATATATATATATATATATATATATATATATATAATTGAGATATTACTGTTGTTCCAACAAGAGAAAAGTGTATATTTTAAACAGTGGGAAAGCCACAAACTTTACTTAGTTTTCTGCGGATTTTTCATACCTTATTCTGGATATTTCGTTACACGCGTTTCGGGTCCTGAAAACTTCCTTAGGCGAATAATAGTTAGTTCAACATGTTATTTAAAAGAATCCATTTTTTCTTAAACATTTTAACCATTGTCTTTCGTATGTAGCAGTAGTCATGTGAATCCACCGTGGACTAGCCGAAAAAAAGTTTTAAAATGCATGATTCAAATAGAGGAGACGAGGAAAACCTTTTATGATAACGCGTTTCGTTTCTTGAGGAACTCTATTAAAGCAAGTGTAGAAATTTTATTTCGTAAACTTATAGCCAGAAGTGTCAAGGAGAAAAAAAAAATAACGTCAAGTGTTTAAAGTTTGCATTTGGAAAAAAAACTCTAAAATCCTTGAAAATCATACGGTATTATGGAAAGGTTAATTACGAGGAAGCATGGTGGTGTAATGGGTAGCGGCTCGGATTGAAGAATCGGAGATCCGAGTTCGAATTCCAGTCGAATCCATTATATTCACTTACGTGCTAATACCCTTGGAAGCGTATTCTCCACCAGTTATAAATAGCAGGACCGGCCGGGTTCTATAGCCTTTGATGATAACTAGTCTACGCAGAAAGAAATGGCAACCTACTGAGGGATAAAAACTCGACTGACTGACACTATGTAAAATGACATAAGTGGTTGCTATATGAAATGAAAGTGAATTAATGCTGTTGTTTTCATTGATCTTTTATAACATTAATTCTTTGTATAAAATACTTCTTTATGATATATATATATATATATATGTGTGTGTATATGTATATGTAGAGAGAGATTATATGTATAATTGAGAGACTATAGTTACATATTCTTATTTTATTTTATTTATTTTATGTATTTTTTTAAATGTAATGATTTAACCTTTGCGTTTTAATTAATTTTTTATGATTATATATAAATATTTTGAAAGGAGCATTATTTTCAGAAAATGAGATATATGAAAAGTCTAGGGTGGTACTTTTTGTCCTGGCAAGTAACGGTTATTGCACTATCAAGAACTTTTGTTCCAAGGAAATTATTTTTACATCTTACATCATTTGAAAAAACAAATTTTCTTTCAAATTATTTCCGTGCATAAATAATATATTAGATAGATATTTATGTAGCTATCTTTATGTTCATAAATAAGTTTTATTTTTATTTTTTGTAAGTTTTCTGTAAGTTTAACTAATATATTGTACTTATATATTGAGAAGATTGACTTGTCACCACTCCTAGCAAAATGCCATATATAAAGTTTAACTTAAATTCACAACACACCTTATAATTAGTGTCAAATTATGGTCGACAAAACGACTATGCTCTGCAAAATTATGGTAGCCATTTACATCAAAAGACGGCAACCTACATTCAGTAAAATGTTGCCTAAAGATGCCTTTGAAACTTTAGGCCATTTTGACCATGTGACGTTAAAATTTTTCCATAACCAGAACTTTAAGAACTTAAAAGTTCCAATGGCAACCCCAGAACTTCAATTTTCTTCCCTTTTTAGACATACACAATTTCGTCAAGTTTCTTTATAGGCGAATCAAACTTACAGACGCAAGGAATAACTCCCCAAAATGTTTAATAGACAATTCTTGTCAGTTTATATTTAGTGTTTAAACAGTCTTGTTGCCTAAATAAACTATGCTTGCATTGATATATATATATATATATATATATATATATATATATATATATATATATATATATATATATATTTAGGTATATTTATCGTTAGAAAATATATATTAAAAATCTGTTCGCACTATGGATGAACAGGATTTTAATGCATATATTATGTTTTCTAACGATGGATGTCGTCAATAATCGCATTGATACTTGATTAATTTATGTGATTATTCTTATATATATATATATATATATATATATATATATATATATATATATATATGATATATGATATAATGGAATATGCGTACACCTATGTTCTTCCTCACTGAAATATGATTGGCTGGTGTCCGTCATAAATACCGACGGACGTGTAGGTACGACAGAGTCAAAGAGCCTTAGTCTGAGAGCTAAGTCTATAATGGCGCCCATTGGACTACGCCTTTGATCTACACTTCTTACCTGCGACTACGACGCGTACCAGTCGATTACCGCTACCGTATTCTACTTGGTTATAGTAGCCAAAACCACCTAGCTACTTCGTTCAAATATATCCCTTTCCGGGACATATCATTATATATGTGTGTGCGTGAGTTTAACCCCCTTGGAGGTGTTCAGAGAGTAGGCGAGTTCGATCTTCGAAAAGAGTCAGGGAAAAAGAAGAGATAGAAAAAAGAAAGAAAGGTCAGAATGAAAAAGATGATAAAGAGGAGAAGTAAAGTGGTGCGCGTGGGGATGATGAAGTAGGAAAGAAAACAGAGAAGAAATGTTGAAGAAGAAAAAGAAGGAAGACTTAAAGAAAAAAAGGATTCGTAGGAGAGAATAAAGTGAAGAAAAAGAAGTAGTAGGAAGAGAGAATAAAGATGTCGAATAAAAACATACGAAAGGCAAAGAAATGAAAGAAAAAAATGAAAGAAAAAGTAAGAAAAAGAAATGAAAGAAAAAGTAAGAAAAAGAAATGAAAGAAAAAGAAGAAAGAAAAAGAAATGCAAGACAACGAAAGGAAAAGAAATGAAAGGAAACGAAAGAAAAAGAAAAAAAAAACAAGACAAAGATAAAGAAAGAAAAGAAATGCAAGACAATGAAAGAAAAAGAAATGAAAGGAAACGAAAGAAAAAGAAATGAAAGAAAAAGAAAGAAAAAGAAGAAAGAAAAAGAAATGCTAGACAACGAAAGAAATAAAAATGAAAGGAAACGAAAGAAAAAGAAATGAAAGAAAAAGAAAGAAAAAGAAGAAAGAAAAAGAAATGCAAGACAACGAAAGAAAAAGAAATGAAAGGAAACGAAAGAAAAAGAAATGAAAGAAAAAGAAAGAAAAAGAAGAAAGAAAAAGAAATGCAAGACAACGAAAGAAATAGAAATGAAAGGAAACGAAAGAAAAAGAAATGAAAGAAAAAGAAAGAAAAAGAAGAAAGAAAAAGAAATGCAATACAACGAAAGAAAAAGAAATGAAAGGAAACGAAAGAAAAAGAAATGAAAGAAAAAGAAAGAAAAAGAAGAAAGAAAAAGAAATGCAATACAACGAAAGAAAAAGAAATGAAAGGAAACGAAAGAAAAAGAAAAAGCAAGACAAAGAAAAAAGAAAGAAAAGAAATGCAAGACAATGAAAGAAAAAGAAATGAAAGGAAACGAAAGAAAAAGAAATGAAAGAAAATGAAGAAAGAAAAAGAAATGGAAGACAACGAAAGAAGAAGAAATCAAAGGAAACGAAAGAAAAAAAACAAGACAAAGAAAAAAGAAAGAAAAGAAATGCAAGACAATGAAAGAAAAAGAAATGAAAGGAAACGAAAGAAAAAGAAATGAAAGAAAATGAAGAAAGAAAAACAAATGGAAGACAACGAAAGAAGAAGAAATCAAAGGAAACGAAAGAAAAAAAACAAGACAAAGAAAAAAGAAAGAAAAAGAAATGAAAGGAAACGAAAGAAAAAGAAAAAAACAAGACAAAGAAAAAAGAAAGAAAAAGAAATGAAAGGAAACGAAAGAAAAAGAAAAAAAAAACAAGACAAAGAAAAAAGAAAGAAAAAGAAATGAAAGGAAACGAAAGAAAAAGAAAAAAAAAACAAGACAAAGAAAAAAGAAAGAAAAAGAAATGAAAGGAAACGAAAGAAAAAGAAATGAAAGGAAACGAAAGAAAAAGAAAGAAACAAGACAAAGAAAAAAGAAAGAAAAGAAATGCAAGTCAATGAAAGAAGAAGAAATGAAAGAAAATGACGGAAAAAGAAATGAAAGAAAAAGCAAAAGTAATTAAAGACAAAGACAGAAAAAGAAATGAAAGAAAAAGAAAGAAAGAAAAAAGAAGAAAAAGAAATGCAAGACAACAAAAAAAAGAAACAAAAACAACGTAAGAAATAGAAATGAAAGAAAACGAAAGAAAAATAGCAGAAGTAATAAATGACAAGAAAGAAAAAGAAATGAAATAAAAAGAAGGAAAAAGAAAAGAAGAAATAACAAGAACTGGAAGACAACGAAAGAAAAATAAATTAAAGAAAGTGAAAGAAAAAGAAATGAAAGAAAAAATAAAATGAATGAAATAAAAAGAAAAAAGTAATGAAAGAAAAAGAAATGCAAAACAAAGAAAAAAGAAAAAGTCAGAGTAGGAGAAGAGAAAGAAAGATTTATTTTTTCACCTTCATTTCATTTGATCCTTCTTTTTCATTTCCATTCTCTTTCATTTCGTGTGTGCCATTCACTCACTTTTGTCATCGCTTTTTTATTTATTTTCAATTGATTTTTTTGTCATTCTTTTGATTTACGCTTATGACAATTAGGTCAAAAATTTTTCTTTCTTTCTTGATTTTTCTTTCTTTGCATTTTCTTTTTTTTTTCTTTCTTTACTTCTTTCTTTCTACTGTCAATTATTTCATCTTTTCAATTTTTAAGATAAAATAATTTGTAATAGAACGTTATTAAATATTATTTTATCTTTCTTTTCTTTCTTTCTTTCTTTCTTTCTAGTGTCAATTATTTTATCCTTTGTTCCTTTTTTTTTCTACTAATTATTTTATCTTTTCTTTCTTTTCTTTCTTTCTTTCTTTTTTATCTTTCTTAGTTTCTTTCTTTCTTTTGCATTTATTTATTAATTTTTTCATACTTACTTATTTTCTTTCTTTCTTTCTTTCTTTCTTTCGTTCTTTCTTACTCCTGCATTTTTTTATTATTTTCTTTCATAATCTTTTTTCGTCTTTTTTATTTTTCTTACTTTGCATCTTTCTTCTTTTTTCTTGGATTGCATTTTCTTTCTTTCTTTCTTTCTTTCTTTCTTTCTTTCTTTCTTTCTAGTGTCAATAATTTTATCCTTTGTTCCTTTCTTTTTTCTACTAATTCTTTTCTTTTCTTTTTTTCTTTCTTTCTTTTATATCTTTCTTTTTTATATTTCTTTCTTTCTTTTGCATTTATTTATTTATTTATTATTCTTTCTTTCTTTCTTTCTTTCTTTCTTTCTTTCTTTCTTTCTCCTGCATTTATTTATTATTTCCTTTCATACTCTCTTTCTGTGTTTTTTCATTTTTCTTATTTTACATCTTTCTTTCTCCTTTTTTTTCTTGGTTTTCATCTTTTTTCTTTTTCTCTTTCTTTCCTTCTTTCTTTCTGTCTTTCGTACGAAATAGATACAAAAAGTGAAAAAAAAGTACGCCCTTTTTAATGAAATCAAGATGGAACTATTTTTTTTTGTTGAGTAGGTTGACGGCGGTCAATACGTGTCATGCAATTAAAGAAACTCGGAAATTATGAAAGTAACATAAACTGATTTTTCTAAAGTCAAAGAGCGAATTTTCTACCAAGCAATATCCATCTGCGCTCGATTGACAAGAAGATCAACGCAAGTTCCCGCCTAATGAAATTTGCGCGCGAAAACTTACTTCAGTAAATTGCGTATTGTTCTCGAAGTAAAATCAACTTAGTTTTGAGAGCGACATTATTTGACAAGAACTAGAAATTAAATAAACTCTGTGACATTAGTATGAGTTTAGTATACACGCACATACACGCAAATACTCGCTCACGACAGTATACACACACAGAAACATACACACTCACGCAAAGGCAAGAAAGTAAAATACAGAATGACTGTCAAACGCACAAAGACACATTAACACAAAGACGTATGCACCATAAAGACACGCATAAGCACAGAAACGCAGCAACACATATTTGCATGGAAGCGGATATATAATTTGAAAAAACACGCAGTAAGATACATATACGTAATTTTGTAGGGGGAAGTGATGAAAATCTGTTCTACTGTAAATATTTATGAGGAGGTGCTGAAAATATTTTAAGCCCACTGACAAGAATCTGACATAATGATCAAACATTAGACTTGTAAAACTTTTTCAGAAAAACTGAAGATATATATATATATATATATATATATATATATATATATATATATATCACACACACACACACATATATATATATATATATATATATATATATATATATATATATATATATATATATATATATATCAGCATGGCCTGGCGTTGCCTGTGCTTGATTAAAAAATCGTACGACTCATACACCAATCGCTATCACTTGATTCTTAAAATATTTTTGCCTTTCCTTGCATTTAAAGGAGTGCCTTTGCCGTGCTGATATTGCTACATGCCTTACTTCTTGCCTATCTCACACTGCGAAATTTTTAAGCTCTATACTAAACATTAAAACGATCACCTTTAAAAAAAAAACGAATGAAAAAAGAATGTTAGCAACAAATACTTTTTCACACCCAACCCAGTTCTGCGGAATCAGAATCAACGTTGAGTTTAAGCAAGCGAATGAGCCAATTGGAGTAAAGTGCCATGCAGATTTAATTTTTTCCCACTTGTGACGAATGCAGGTATCGATTTTTTTGCATGCTAGAGATGAAATGGAACTAATGTCTTTAATTTAATTACAAAATTAAATTCGGGGCATTTAGCTTCCATTTTGAAACATGGTTAGAACTGTGTAGCGAAAAAACATATTTTAAATCAATTAATTTATAATATTAATACTCTGTAAATTTACATTGAGCACTATTTTGTAAAAATAAAAATATCTATAAGAACACCGGATTATATATCTTACTGTTCTTTCTTTTTATATATATATATATATATATATATATATATATATATAATATATATATATATATATAATGGTCGGCTCCCTATACTGCTCCAGTAAGTACATGACTCTTCATGCTATCCCTTATCTTCATCAGGCCGTACAGTGGACTAAGGAAAGGTTTTAGCCAGGAGGAATAAACTACATCCAATTTCAAAATTTAATTACGTAATCCCTACTCAACATAAATATACAGTATTTGGAAATGGTATAGAGCAGGTCCTCCATTTGCTAGTTTCAGTGCCTGTATTCGATTTTTCAGGGATTTGATCAAGTTAGCAACAATCGTCTGATCCATATTTTGCCTCTCCTTTAGCAATGTTTCTTTACGTGTGACCACTGACGGGATTTTGGTTGCACGCTCTCGAAGTTTTCGATGAAGGTGCACCCAAACGTGCTCTATTGGATCCATGGGCTACCATCGACTTGATTCCTTGCGATTCCTTCTAGGCCTTTGATACTCTGATCATATGACATGGGGCTCCATCTTTTTGATAAATGTAGACATTCTTGTCAATCTGATTGGTTTCAAATAATGCGAGTATTCCTTTCTCTAATATTTGACATTATTTTGGACTATTCAACAGCTCGTCAGCAAGAATCATCTCAGATTTCCCTCCAGACCAGACCAGACAGCGCCCCACACTATTACTCCAATCTCTCCATGTTTCACGGTCGCCTGCAGACATTCAGTGTTGCAAGTCTCATTCTGATTTCTCCAAACATAAACCAATCTCGAATTCGACTATTGGCAGAATTTACTTTCATCTGACCAAATTACAGACAGCCAGAATTCATAATCTTTGCTCTCGAATTCTCTCGCCCAGTCGATACGCCTGTCCCTGTTAACCTCTTAAATCAAGGACTTCTTTCTTGCAACTCTTCTTTGATAGCCAAGGTCTTTCAGAGTCTTTCTCTCCACATATGGTGACATTTCCATGCTGTTGGCGATATCTTTGACGCTCTGAGAACAGTTTCTGTTGACTTCCCTCTTCAGTACCCTTTTCGTTCACTCGAAGCTTGGTCTTCCTGAACGTTGTTCCACACGACAATGACCTTCTTCATTAAATTTCTTGGCAATATTATTAAGTGTTTGATGATTAACCTGGAAAAACCTAGTAATTTTTCTATTTGACTTGCCACACTGATGCCATCCTATTATTTGCCCTCGTTGAAATTCACCAATTTCCTTACCTCCGCGAATTTTCATTGCAAAATATAAGTCAACTATCGTTCATAGATGAGAGTAGCTTGATACTAACACGGTATTGTCTGAAAACAAAGAGACGTTATTACACAAGCCAAAATTGCTATAATTAAGGGTAGCTAAAACCATAGCCCACTGTAAATGAAGTACTGTTGTCATAGTTGGACGGGAGCTGAAGTCCTCACGTTCCCGACTTTATCAAGTTTTATTCAAAAGTGTCACCTAGTCTACGTTAGTGATGAATTATTTTCCATCCTACAAGCGGGATGCAGTGAACCTCTCACTGCTCTATCACTACACCCATGGAAAGTGCTCGAAGGAATTAGATTCCTTGCTTCCGCCAGGACGAAACTTTATGGCTAGGGCACACCATGCAGCTTACATTGTAGCAAACCATTACATTCCCCCGTATTCCATTGGTGAGAAGTAAGTTCCACTGGAACGGCTTCTTCCCGCGAACCATTGCTCTGTGCAACAGATCCCCAAAAAGATGTTTTCCTGATCGCTACAGTCTTAACCTAGTCTAGAGTCAGCGTTAAACTAGCCCTTAACGTAATTGTTTACCCTGAGTAGCCCCCGGTCCTTGTACAGATATATATATATATATATATATATATATAAATTTTATATTAATATCAATTATTTATAAAAAAACGTACATAAACGAAATACAGTTCCCTAGCAAAAAAATAAAATTCTCATAAATTAAAATAAATAAATATAAGCCGCATGTCGAAAGCCAGAAAAAAAAAAAAAACAGAAGAAAATGGCAAAATGATCACAACGCACATCCGTACAGACGGACGCACGCACAAACACAGAGAATGCAGAAGAAAATTTACACCAGTGCTAAATTAGTATAAAAAAAAAAATGAAAAAATTAAAGCAATAAATTGCTGATAGCCTCTGAAGTGTGAACGAACAGGTCCGTCTACGAAACTGGATTCGGGATGCTAAGTAATAAATTTTACTCACATTAAGCATATATATATATATATATATATATATATATATATATATATATATATATATATATATATATCGGTAAAAAATGAAAGTGTAAGAAAGGTCTGTACAAAATTCGATGTATAGAGAAAAATATGTTTTTTTCTTTTATTCCGAACTTAAACGACAGCACGTGATAATCTGACAAAAATTCACAAAGTTTTGAAAGGCTACAGACCAAAACAGGTTAAGCAAAATGATTCTTTCTAAAAACTCACATGTAAAACAATTCTTTGTAAAACTACATATATCATATTATATATAAATATATAAAAACATCTGATGTTTTTCATATCTAATTGT